TCCCTTAATTCTGCAAATTCTTCCTTGGGAATTCTTGAAGAACAACCACAATCACAACCTTTTTCTAAAAAATCAATTGCTTTTTGATATTCAGTAGAACCATTATATTTACTATTACTTTTCATATACACTTATTCCTATATATACAATTTTATGTTCATTTTGTAGGTTATTTATTTTAAAATTGAAGAGATTTTAAATTGGTCCTGTGGTGACAAGCAAAGTAGGCAGAAAGAATTAAATTTGGGTGGATCTGCAAATAAATATCAGAAATACTTTCAAATGTATATTCAATAATTGATATAAAAGAGAAAATAAAAATCCTCAACTGGTTCCATGAAAAATAATTGTCTAGATTTAAATTATTTTAATGTTAAGTAAAGTATGGATAAAAAGTCTGTGTTTGTTTTTTAAATGAAAAGACTTGTCTGTGTTCAGCTTATTGCAGAAAGTCTTGTCAATCTTGACAAAAGAAATACAATTGTTTTGCATAAAAAACTTCGACCATTCTTATATATATGTATATTATCTTTAGTTTTACAAATATATTCAAATCTTTAATTGAATTTAATTGGATAGAATTAAAAGTGATTATTATTGGTGTGTATATATATTTAAAAAGGGATGATCTTGTACATACATGCTGTGATGTGATCCATTATTATTATTATTATTATTAATTATTCGAGTTATTATTATTCGTTTTATTCATGTTATTTGCATTTATTTATTTGTTTTATTCGAATAAATCTTATTCGAATAGAAACCCTACCTACTACTCACAAATAGCTTTAGAAATGTTTAACCAATAACTTAATTACAATATAAAAGAGCTATTTAACTAAAAAATAGGATTAATTTTAGAAGAATATCTGATAAATATCAGCATTTTCAATATTTACTAATAGGCTTTTAGACTATATATGAGATAAAAATACAAGAATATTATTATCTTATCAGTATGCCAACACCTCAATTATTTTTTTAAAGAATATTGGTCAGATATCAGGTTCTGATATTTACTGATACCCCATTACCCAATTTGGCATCATTCAACCAGTAAAAAGAGAACCAATAGATTATATATAAGCAAAGAAAGATGGGAGCACAAAAGAATTTTAAATCATGCGCAAACATAACAGCTTGATGATTTGATTGACATAGTGGTGCAGTCTTGCAATTTTTTTTATTGTATATTTTAAATATAATTAATCATACATCTTTAATAAAACAGACATGACTTAACTATTTAATCATTTCCTTGTATGTGAATGCCTCCATCCATTGAATATTCATGATGGTCATGATTATTATGCAATACATTTGATATCATCATTGACATAACAAACTATTGCATCACCCAGGTAGTAACAATACCAAGGCCATGCATAAACAAAACTCTTAACAATGCGTGTCTACCCAGTTCTCTGGGGTTCACAATAATAAATTATTCTTCATGATTATCAATTATGGTTCCTTGTGAATAATAAATCTGATGTTGATTGCAGGTGTCAGATTTAATTAAAATTTCCTATCACAAACATGCAAGACTGTGCAATTAAGCACAATTCAGCACCATGGATTTTTTTCCACAGGTGAAGTCGACTTAAACATGTTGGAAGGCTTTGGACAAAACTTTCCCCTATCTTCTTCTCAGACCAGGCTTGGCTGTTTCCATATGGAGCATTGATTGCTGATGAGAGTTGACATTTGTGATGATTGCTTTGTGTTATTGCCATGCTAGCATAAGTTGGCACCTGCAACTGGTTGAAAATTCTGCAACTCAGAAGGTTACTGTTTTGGTTTTTCCCTGAATTCAGAGTTTTGAGTCCTGGGTTGCTGTAATTTTTATGAAATGAAAAGTATTAATATTTAACAATTAATTATTTAAATGTTTATTTTGTTGAAAAAAACATACATTGATAGTGTACATTTTCTGTGCTTAACATCCATGTGACCCTAAGTCTGGACAAAAGATCCCTTTCTATGAGTTTGGCTGGTATATCCCAAAGGCATCCCCTGTCTTGTCAGTGGCATGCCTACTCACCAACAACCCTACCCCCATTTACAAATTCAGTAGTGATGTTAGCCGACTAATAATCTGCATACACAATTTCTAAATTTGGTAATAGATTTCCGCGTTACCTTCTGGTTATAGAAATAAAATTACCAATTTAGGTAATAAACGGCTTAGCCGGCTAAGGATTTTTAAACGGCTAACATCATTAAAATTCAGTTGGTCAGATAAAAATTAAAGAGAAGCAGAAAATTTGGGAAAATGATTAATTTATAACATACCGAACCATTTTATAACTTTTTTCTTGTTGGCCATATTGCTAACAAAGATGTATATAATCGTGCAATAATTTTAACCTACAGGACAGAGAACTGATTGAGCAAAAACCCATCCAGTCCCCTACCCAAAATCATAAATTTGTTAGTTAGTATCAAAAAAACAGAGCGTTTATGAAAATGATTATACAAAACAAACACTATTTTACGACTTTCCTCTTAACATCAGAGCCCAAATGCAATTTCAGGGTCACCAACCCTGCTCTGAATTGTGACCTTCTGTGCTTGAAACGAGCTGCAGGTTCTCTTAATATTCATCAGCAGAGTTGCAACATCTTGGTCACAGTGCCATCCTTACCCTAGAGGCAGGATCATTGCAGGCAAATTTTCAGCTAGCAGGCCAGTGGCCATCTCTGGTCTGGGAAGATTAGTGAAAGTGTCATTGACGATTGATGCAATCTCGGTAAATTCCAGATCCATGCGCCTTCTGGAATTCAGTTGCATCATCATATCTTTGGGTCGCCAGGTCAAGATTAGCCTTTTGAACACGAGGAAGATGTGAGAATGACTGTAAAGTGTTCAAGGTAGCATGCGTGCTTCAACGCCTGCTAATTTCCTGTAAACAAACGTCTCACATACTCAAAATGTTTCTTTTTCAACGGTGTGCTGCCTTGACATCTTCTTGTAATTATAGTAATATAATATTATTACGAAAAGCAAAAGATTATCAATGAAAATCTTGTAATTACCCAGCAAGATCTGCTCCGCATTTTGGATTCCAATAATATATATTTATATAATAAAATAAAAATACACCATATACACATCAATACAAATAAAAAGAAGTACCTCTATTATTAACACTTCTTCTTTAGGAGAACTGAACAACACTTACGTTTTGTCTCAAAAAATATATTGTTTTTCCAAGAAAAAAAAAATCAATTCGCGTCTGTCCTACCAAAAAAAAAAACCATAAATAATTAATGTGTATGTGTCAATTGTATCACAAAACTTCTTTTATAAATTTTTATTAATGCCACGACAACACGGCAACACAAAAAGAAGAAAAGAAGCAGATGCTGAAGAAGTAAAAGGATAAGTGTTTAAGGATGGTGGTGGTGGTTATCGCCTGCCACTCGTCGTCACTCTAGTTAATTATAAACTTTTTTTTTTTTTATTAGCGAAGAAAATAAAGAAAATGATGAGAGGGTATTTATTTCAATAAAATATTATTTTAGTATTCAATATTGTAAACACTAATTCAACATAAAATAATTTTTATATATAATTATTCTCTGCACAAACAATTATCCTCTTTAGAGTTGGAAGAAGAAGGCACAAGAATTAGAATTAGAGGTAAAGGAGTTGAAGAGAAAACTAAAAAGTCTTGAAAAGGATAAAATTAAAGATCTATATTTTAGTTCTAGTTATTATAAAAAATGTCAATCATTCACTGATTCATAGGCGAATCACCAATATACAAAAAATTATTTTCCATTTATTTCATTTCGTTTATTTATTTGTTTATCTTGCAATAGTTATTACAGGGACTGGGCTCAAACGTAAGAACGATGAAGATATAAATATTAATACAAAAGCACTTTTCAAGAGAATAAAAGATTCAGACCCTCCAAGTGAACTTGCAAAACCAAAAGAATGGATAAAGGAACAAAACAGTGGCTCTATTTATTTCAATCATCGCCCAGCTAATATCTCTGGGAATCCTGTCATTCTTCAGCATCCTATCTTCGGAATCTTCCTTGAGGACTGTGAAACCATAACACCAAATGATGTTGACTGCGCCTTTGTCCTAGAAGCAACTGAATCTATGTCAAATGTATTTACTAATGAAAATGAAAGAAGAGATGCATTCAAGATACTATATCGAAAACATTACAAGGTTAGCCTTAATCAATATACAAATACAAGGATAACAACAGATGGCTCTTCCTTTGGAAAAAATGGAATGTAAATGACAAGCACAATAGAAGTGAAGCCGGAATTGGGGATAGGACACTCCTGTCCTTATATCCAAGCTGGTATATACTATGTGAAGCATGTTTCGACCCTTCCAGTTTCTACTGCAAATAAGGATACCAGCTGCAACTTTTGATGATGGTTGCTACCACCTTTGCATCATATAAAAATGATTGCAACCACTGGTTGCAACCACCTTTATGACCATTTTGTTTCCTTTTTTGGATTGCGACATGGAACACTAACTGCAAATGAAATCCATTTACCATGTCTCTTATTGTATCTTGCAGGTTAGAATCTAATATCTGCTGTATAATTTCTTTGTGTTCAGCTATTTCTAAATCCTTTTTTCTTTTCTTAGGCCCATATGTTGGTATTGCAGCCATCATATTTTCTGGTGACAAATTTCTATGTGATCCTCTAACACCACTTCTTCCACTTTTCTACCTTCACCACTATCAAAAATTTATGGATCACTTAGCTCAGACATTCTGTGCTTTTAAAAAAGCATTAGATGCATTGGATTATTATTACATGGATCCCCCTAAAATTCTTCCTTCACAATTGGAGTTCCCATACATTAACTCATTCACCCATATTTCAAATAGAACAAGTATTCAATTTTGTTACCTCAAACAACTCTACAAAGACAAATTACTGTTTCTTGTTGAGCAGAAAAGCAATAACAATGTGCCAAAACAATTACTTGTAAAGTTTACAGAACAATATGTGATAGATGTGCACAAGGCCTGTGTAGATTTAGGTATTGCTCCTCGCCTTTTTGGTTATCAGAATATTTCAGGAAGATGGCTTATGGTTGTGATGGAAATTTAGATGATAATTATGAACATTTGTCTCTACATGTACCTACAGAAGTAAAAAGTGCCTTTAAAGAAGCTGTTGGAAAGATGCATGGTGCAGGATTTTTACATGGTGATTTGAGAGATCTAAACATCCACTATCAAACAAAAAAGAAAGACGATAATGATGGTGTTCAGGTAGACATTAAAATTGTTGATTATGATTGGGCTGGTAGGATTGATCACCCAACAACAATATATCCCTCATATCTTAATCCCAAAATTACAAGGCATTATGATGCCCACTCTGGGTGTCAGATTAAACAGGACCATGATGACTATATGGTAAATCTCTTGATACAGTAATATAAATTCATAAAATGTACTTTACATATTAACCAAATGATAAGATATTGATATTGCAAGTAATATAGTTGTAGATACATTGGATAATTATTGGTTGTGTTAAATGTTGAAATTGATCTGATGCTTTCTGCAGTTAAAACTAGTGTAATTTAATACTAATTATTATAAATTTATATTTTGTTATATATAAAATAATACAACACAAAGATAATTATAATAAATATTGTATTAAGTAATCTTCATGGAAAGGTGTCCAATTTACTTCACATTAGTGTCCAAAACTGCTTTCAATTTTAATTTGCACATATCAGAATATTTACTGATAAGTATCAGTGCACAAAGGATTTTGATGTTAACCCATGATATTTGTCTTATTTGATGCAAAATGCAAGTGTGGAAGTTCATTTATCATAGTGAATTTATAGTTGCCTTATTGCCCATGCTCTATCTATAGCCAATCTTATATTCCTACTTTATTTTTTTTGTTCTCCCAAGGCTTCTCTGCAAGCCCCTGATTTTTTGAAAACCTACAAAGTGAACACAAAATTTATATATATAAGTATATGAAAAATAATAATAAATATAATGGTTCTAATGAATATCAAAAAGCCATTGATTTTCTAGAAAAAGGATGTAATTGTGGTTGTTCTTCAAGAATTCCTAAGGAAGAATTTGCAGAATTAAGGGAATCCTTTCAAGCTCTTTCTAAACCAGAACAAGACATATTTTTAATGGCACAGATTAAAGCAATGGATGGTGGATCAATAAGCACCAGCAGACGCCTTAAAAAGAAAAATAGATCTAATAAAAGAACTTTCTACCACTGAGATCACAATACACTACTTTGTCAAGAAACTTATCTCAATATGTTAGGAATTGGTAGAACTTATTTTGAAAATATTAGAAATCATCTAATAAACAATGGTCTTCTAGCAAGAGTTCATGGTAATATTAAAAGGATGCCTCAATGGAAAACTAAAATGGTAATTGATAAAAATGTTGCTGAAGTGGTAAAGAATTTTCTAGAAAATTATGCAGAAGTCCATGGGTTACCAAGTCCAGGAAGAAGCATCAATAGAATAACTCAATCAATTACATTCTTACCAGCTGAAATGAGTTATAAATCAGTCCATAGAGATTTTTTAGCTGGTCTGGAAGAAGATAACAAATTGAAATCCTTAAAATATGATGCCTTCAGGAAGCTGTGACATCAATTGATACCAGAAATTCAAATTATGAGTCCAAGAACTGACTTGTGTGATACTTGTCAACATTTTAGAGATGGTTTACATTACAATGCTCACCAAGAGGAAGAAGCTAAAGATTTGCTTAAAAGATTTAAAGAACATCTGTCTAAAGCCAAATTAGAAAGAAATTATTATAATAAAAATACTAAATTAGCAGAAGAACAAAGAAAATTAGTTAATCAAAATTATTCAAAGAGTAGAACACAATATTGCAGTATTGATGCCACTGCTCATTATAGTTATGATTGAGCCCAAAATGTTCATGTGCCACATTTAGATCAACAAGTAAGTAAAATCTATTATCTCAGTCCACATAAAGTTCATTTATTTGGTATTCAAGATGAAGCAGTAAGGGAGCAAATTAATTATGTTCTTAATGAAGATGAAATTATAGGAAAAGGTCCTAATGGAACTCTTAGTTTGATCATTGATGGAATTAAGAAATTGAATAAAGGTGAAAAGCATTTAAAGATTACTTGTGATAATGCTGGGGGACAGAATAAAAATAACACCACTATTTGGTTTTACTTGTACTTAGTAATTGTGGTTATTATGAAAGTGTTGAATTGAATTTCATGATTCCTGGACACACTAAATTCAAATGTGATGGTAGTTTTGGTTTAATAAAAAAACTCTATAGGGAAACAAGAGTAGATTGTCAATGAATAATTTGATAATTTGATAATTCAAATAAAATGAATGAATGAATAATTCAAATAAAACAAACAAATAAATAAAACAATTCAATTGATAATTTAAATAAAACAAATAAATGAATAATAATAATTCAAATAAATTTGAATAGTTTGAAATAATTCAAATAGTGAATAATTCACACAAAAATTTTATTATGAATAGAAACTCAACTCTATTGCAGAGTCACTAAATCTGGCACAATAATGTTCAAACTAAACTAAAATATACAACTACATACTTGAGGCGTCCCTACAAGCAATATAGTAAAACTAATAAAAGGGGTCTCTAACTAATAATTAAATGTTGGCCAAACCATTAATCATCAGTAAAGGTTATGAATCGATCAATCATGCCAGGTTTATCAATTAATGAAAGAGTTATTTTTATTACCAAAGTGTTATTATCGAAAGATCAATTATTTATTTTTATTGATTAATTTTTTTTTTCACTAAAGGAGATTTCAAACATATTTACACTTCTTAAAGTATTACAAATAACATCATTTTGTCCAATAAAATAAAAAAAAATTAGAATGACAAATGTTGACTACAGTAATTGACAATTACCAAAGTTAAATGTCAAAAATGAGTCATTAATGATGCCATAAATGTCAAAAATGAGTCATTAATGATGCCATGATTAAATGATACCTGATGAAATGTTTTTGTCATAATTAATTAAAAATAAACTTCATCTTCCTTGAAAATATTATTAAAAGAAAAGTATGGCAACTCATTAATGGCATAGTGGACTTTGATGAACCTTTCTTTGAAGTCAACACATCTTTAATAGGACAAGTTTCTGGATTATTTTTGCAGGAAAATCAATTAATTAGCTGAATAAACCCTGACTAGAGATAAATCTGGTTTTCTTTTATTTATCAGATCAACTTATTTAACTTATCAAACAATTATACCATTCACCCAGAATTAAAAGTGCACAATAATCATGATTGTTATATTTGTAGTCCTAGAAACATCATCATCAAATCCATCATCTTTAAATACTGTTGGTTCTCAAACTCATACTGTAAAATAATAATTTATGAAGAGGAACTAAAAAAAGGAGTATTGCTTGAAAGTATTTCTTTAAATGAAACCTATCAGAAGTTCAAGATGCTCTAAATCTTAATGATGAATCTAACTCATTACAACAAGGATTACTTGCTCTCACCACTCCTCTCATCACTTTCAATGTCAATTTTCTTGTTTAGCAAGTGCATCAGTTTTACAGATCTTAGATGGTACTCATAGGGTGCAGAAGAGAAGTAGTGGAATATTTGGTTACTAGGTACTGGAGCAAAAGTATCACAATTCCATTGCATGTCATGATATGTTTTCAGTATGTGATATATTTCACAAATCCTGTGGATATCAAATATTGAAAATTTATGTGACCATTCCATATCAGGGACAACCATCCTGTCTTCTTGCTTCACACAACAATAGACATTGGATGAGCAATAGGTTTTGTCTGATTGTGGCGGTTCTCCATTTGATGGTTACAATGGTGTAATCTGATACTTCATGACCAAATTATACAATGTTTTTTCCACGATAGAATGTCTGCATGGATTGCATTAAGTGAGATGTTTCTTTTTTTCATGTAGGTAAAGTTGTGCATGTGAACATATTTGAAGAAATGCCTAATTCACCATCCCAGGATCCTTCCACAACTTGTTCCAGCATATTTTGGCAATGCAGGTAGATGTGCAATGGGTGTTTGCTTGGCATGGTATTGCCACTTCATGTAAGTGGGTCCATTTGTCTTTGGTCACCATCAAGTTGTAGAAGCCCTTACACATTTATTTCATTTTAAAAAGGGGACAAATTCGAAGGCAAGGTTGTGGTTTTTGATAGATGTTTGCATTTTTGGTGGCAGTATCTGGTTCTAATTTTGAAAATTTCTTCTTTTCTCAAACATCAATGTGGCTAGTACCAACACAAGCAGGACCTAGCTATCTATTGAAGGTAGTATTTTTTAGTGTACTCATAGTATCCTTTCCTATTGGGTAACATCAAAGATTCCATGTCAGGGTTTCCAAATAAGACCAGAAGTTTGACATTGTTTGATTCAATAAAACTCACAATCAGTATACTGTAGTTTGTGTCTGTTGGCTTTACTTGATAATTTAAGTATAATTTTTATTATATTTAAATTATTCAGATACATGTATTAAATTTTAAGATTTTTAATATTAATAAATTATTTATATATTATATATATTATATGATATATTGATAATACATCACTTCAATTTGTTAATGCTATAAAAAATAAAACCATTGATTGAAAAAGTAAGAGACAAACAATACTGCAATTATGTATGATAACAATGATTATTAAAAATTGCATTTATTTTTTATTTAGTGTGCATATTTGATATCCAAATTTCAAAATGAAAAAAAAAAATACAAAGTTATTATATAATATCATTACTCGAGACATTTAAACTATAGTAGCCAGTTAAATAAAAATCAATAAATAATTTAATACATAGTACATGACAGGATTTAACTTATTCAAACAAGTCATCTGGTATAGCTAAATCAATTTGTTTAGAATCTACAAAATATTTATCACAAGAGTGGATATTAATAAATATTATTAATTTAATAAAAATGAAAATAGTCAATGATTGAATATTAATAATTACCATCATTATTACCAATAATTGTTACTTTATTGGAATTTACAGGTTGGGGAAGGTTTGTAAAATTTAATAATCTGCTAGTATAAACTGCATTTGGATGAATTACTGTGGTAATTGTTGAAGGATCAAATTCTATTTCATCCATTTTCTCAAACTCTTTTCCAATTGATTCATATTTATCACCTGATTCAAAGGAATAAATTGAATCAATCCAAACATTAATAATCTCATAAATTTCTTCAGCAGTTGGACGTTTGTCAGGATTAGCATCCACAATGATTGAATATTATTTATAATTACCATTATTATTACCAATAATTGTTACTTTATTGGAATTTACAGGTTGGGGAAGGTTTGTAAAATTTAATAATCTGCTAGTATAAACTGCATTTGGATGAATTACT